ATTCTGCATTGCTCTGTATCTCGAAATCTGCCTTGGAGGACGCTTACCCAAAGATTGGAGGCCGAATGCCCTTGACCGCTCAAATGTTCCCCGACTGGGAGGGAACGTCCCTATATGGCTATTGTTGCGCAGTGTCCATTCATCCGTTGTCATAGCATCTGCATCATCTCACCAATAAGCCATGTCTCGGGGCATCCTTGCCTATAGAGTATGAGAGAGTCAACATTTGGCCAGATAGGAATGTTCCCTCACTGTCAGGGAACATTTCAGCGGTCAAGGACATTCAGCCGCAGATATTCGGGTAAGCGAGATACACAACAACACCGAATCGCCAAACAGAAACTGACAGCCAAGTTCCATACCCATGAAGACAGCCTCAATCATTATCTTGATTGATTTATTGTCACGTGTACTGAAATACAGTGAAAAGCTCTATTTACGAGTGGTACAGGCAAATCACAGTAAGCAAAGGATGTACAGATCAAAAAAGACTTGGAGGCATACATGTTTTAGCAAGACTAGTCCTGATGAAGGGTTTAGGCCAGAAACATCAACTCTCTTACTCCTCTGATGCTGCCTGACCTGCTGTTCCTCCAGCTTCACGATGTTTTGTGGCATGCAGGTTACATTGCACAAGGCATGCGCTAGGAAAGATCAACGTCAGCTAGATCAGCATTATTTGAGACTAGAGAGTCCATTCATCAGTCTGATAACAGCCAGGAAGAAGCTGTTCCTGAACCTGCTGGTGCGTATGTTCAAGCTTCTGTACCTTGTGTCTGACGGAAGAGGCTGTAGGAGGTCATTACCAGGGTGTGATGCGTCTTTGATGATGTTGGCCACCTTTCCACAGCAGCAAGCCGTGTAAATGGAGTCCATGGATGGAAGAGACAACAAGGCGCAGGGCTGGATGAACACAGCAGGCCAAGCAGCATCATAGGAGCAGAAAGGCTGACGTTTCGGGCCTAGACCCTTCTGGAAGGTTGACTTCCTTGATGGTCTGGGCTGTGTGCACCACCTTCTGTAGTCTCTTACGGTCCTGGGCAGAGCAGTTGCCATACCAGACCGTTATGCACCCGGACAGTATGCTTTCAGTGGTGCATCTGTAAAAGTTGGTGAGGGTCCTTATGGACGTGCTGAGTTTCCTGACTGCCTGAGGAAGAAGAGGCGTTGTTTTGCCTTCTTACTGTCGCGTCTACGTGGGAAGTCCAGGACCAGGTTCATGTTGCACTACATGTGACCCCACCACACTGTTCTGTATCTGTAAAACCTTCCTTACTGTCCAGTTTTGACAGCATCATCTTGATAAATTGTTGTGATCTCTCTATCTTAATTAGTTTGTACAACTTTGGATTACTTATGGCTTTGTTTAGATATTTGGCGTGCGACTCTTATACCTATCATGTTATTCCAATTGTTTAGTTTGTCACCACCACCTTATTTTTAAGTTTTTGCAATTATCTCTCTGCCTCATTTTATCAGATTATAGGTCATCCTTTCGCTGGTTATTCTGCTGTTGACACTTTACTCACACTGTCTAACACTCTTGGTCACCAGCAGAGGCTTATTATTTGACACTCCACTCAAACCAGTTGTATGATCTTTTGATCTCTCTGCCTGTAAATTCTGTGTCTGTGTGCTCTTCTCTCACACTTCACCTGACAAAGGGGCTACACTCCAAAAGCTTGTGGTTTTAAATAAGCCTGTTGGGCTATAACAGCGTCGTGTGACTTCTGTCTTTGTAGATGATAGACATTGCTGCCTCTTAGTGTCAGTGGTGGAGGGCGTGGATCTTTGCGATGTGGTGCCAGTCAAGTGGGCTGTTTTGTCCTGGATAGTGTCAAGCCTCTTGAGTGTTGTTGGAGCTGCACTCATCCAGCATGTGCGGAGCATTCCATCACACTCCTGACTTGTGCCTTGTAGGTGGTGGAAGGCTTCGGGGAGTCAGGGGATGAATTAATCAACGCAGTATTTCTAGCCTCTAACCTGCTCTTGTAGCCATTATGCTTGTGTGTTGAGTCTAGTTGAGTTTCTGGTGAATCCCAAGGATATTCATAGTGAGGGATTCGGCGATGGCAGCACCTTTGAATGTCAAGGGGCAGTGTTAGATTGACTCTTACTGGTGATGGTCATAGCCTGGCATTTGTGTGGCGTGAATGTTACTTGCCACTTGTCAGCCCAAGTCTGGATATCATCCAGATCATGTTGCATTTGAACATGGACTGTTTCAGTATCTGAGGAGTCGCGAATGGTACTGAACATTGTACAATTATCGGCGAACAATCCCACTTCTGACCTTATGATGGAGGGAAGGTCATTGATGAAGCAGCAGAAGATGGTTGGGCCTAGGACTCTACCCTGAGGAATTCCTGCAGAGATGTCTTGGAGCTGAGATGACTGACCTCCACCAACCATGGCCATCTTCCTATGAGCTAGGTATAACTCCAACTAGAGGAGAGTTTGCCCCAATTCCCATTGATTCCAGTTTTGCTAGGGCTCCTTGATGCCACATTCAGTCGAATGCAGCCTTGATATCAAGGACTGACACTCTCACCTCACCTCTGGAATTCAGCTCTTTTGTCCTTGTTTGAACTAAGGCTGTAATGAGATCAGGAGCTGAGTGGCCCTGGCAGAACCCAAACTGGGCGTCACTGAGCAGGTTATTGCTGAGCAGGTGCTGCTTGATAGCGCTGTTGATAACACCTTCCACCACTTTTTAATGGGCTGCAGCAGCTCAAGAAGGCAGCTCACCACCACCTTCTCAAAGCAACCACGTACAGGCAATAAATGCTGTCCCAGCCAATGATGCCCACATCCCACAAATGAATAAAAAATCTAAGGGAATCAAGAGTTATGGGGAAAAGCAGGAAAGTTGAGGTGACGATTATCACATCAGCCTTGATCTTATTGAATGGCAGAGCAGACCTGATGGGCTAAATGGCCTACTTCTGCTCCTGTTCTGTGGTCTGATGGGCCTTGCTGCACGTAGGTTTCCTGGGAGGTCTTGGTGCAAATGGGTTTTGTGGGGATCTCAGTTTGATTGGATTTGGTGATACAGGCTATAGAAGTAGGGCAGAGCAAGCTTTCAGCGCTCAGCAGCAGTGCCCATCATTTCAAACACCATAAAAATACCATGGAAACAGACACTGAATGAAACTGTCCATGTTACATTAAGGCATATTATCTCATATGCTATTGTAGAGGAAGGCAATCAGGCTAGGGGCCAGATGGGATGTGTTTTGCAGAATGAAGTATCCATCAGTGTTTAATGCTTCGTTTTAGTGGAATTGTGTCTGTATTGGTTTATGCTGAGTGAGTGAATTAACATTAGGGATGGCACAGTGGCTTAGTGGTTAGCATTGCTACCTCACAGCACCAGGGACCTGGGTTCTGTTCCTGCCTTGGGTAACTCTGTATAGTTTGCATGTCCGCCCCGTGTCTGCGTAGGTTTCTACTGGGTGCTTCGGTTTCCTCTCACTGTCCAAAGATGTGCAGGTTAGGTGTGTTAGCCACCTGGTTATGGGGACAGTGTAGGGGGCTGGATCTGTGTGGGATGCTCTTCAAAGGGAGAGTGCAGACTCAATGGGCCAAATGGCCTCTCTCTGTACTGTAAAGATTCTATGGTTCTGTGACTTTGTCAAGCTGCTAGCTGAGTCTCACACTTGCTGACAGCGCACTAATTTAATGACAGAATTTAAAAACCAGTGGCAGGCTCTTATAGAATTGCACTGATTAAATACATCATTTTTTTTAAAGGAGAGCAGTAACAATGATAACTATTTAACTTTTCTAAATCTTTGCTGTGTTTTGACATTGACTTGCATTCTACTGTTTCTGGGTGCAATAAATCTCACTTATTTGTAACATAAATAACCTCTATCAAATATCTATTCTTATCATTCTCCCCCTCCTGTATTTCACTCCATCCACCCTCAATGTGTACAGTCTTCACAATCATGAATGCAGGCCTTAGACAATCACTTTCACCACCAATACTTGACAGAGCAAGTGCTCTGGCCAGAAGCCCAGATCCTTGCTCCACGATCTGACCTGAGTAAAAAAACCAGGATGGTCAGTCAGGTTTGTTTTGTGGTGACTCAATGCGTCATGGCATGTAGCCCTCAGCCATAAGGCCAGGCAAGTTCCGGGTTCAATCCTGGTTTATGTTCTGAGTCAGGTGGTATTTTTAGACAGGGCTATGCTAAGGATGCTATTGTCTGCCTGTCTGTCCCTGAGCCAATCCTGCTTCCTGCTCCATGATCACTTTCTTGAGAATGCACCAATGGACTTGAGTTGCAGGCAGGATCACATGCAAGTGTGATGGACTCTATATCCAAAGAACTTGTCACCTCACCACTTTGGAATCAGTGAAGTTGTGCCCTAGCAATATTTTGTCTTTAGGAAGGAATCAGGACAGAATTGGGCAGGTAGAGCTGAATATAGTGTTAAAACACGGTTAAATATTTATCTCCATGAATAGGCTACAGAAAAGGCAAAGTAGCATTCCTCCTTGGGATATCTGTCAACCGTAAACTTACGCCAACCATAAAACACTCTGCATGAACATTAATATTTCCCCTGTAGATACCCCTAACAGTAAGGTAGTGATAACTTGTAGGCCCTGTACCATAATTCAGATGATGAAGCTGGAGCTTGCAATTCCTACAAAAGGATGCCCGATTCTGAGCCTGGCCTTGCAAACGTTGAGTGGAGCTTTAAGCAGTGCACTGGGGCAGCCGTTGGCTAGCACCTGTGATTTATAGAGTATTGTTAACAGCTCACCCCGGGTTGTTCTTTATACATCCCTGGTTGCCAGCTGTGTGAGAGAAGGTCACCTTGGCTGTTCTCTTTTCCTCTGCATTTACTTCATGGCGAGAGATCTCTCTCTGTAACGATTTGATTGTGAAGTGCTGTATTAATTTGGGTCAGGATCTGAAGCAGGTTTTGTGGTTGTTTGTTTCATGCATGATAGTTTATTTATCTATCTTGTTTTCTTCAAACAGTAGAACCTATAGTCGAAGTCGATCTCGGAGCCTGTCATCTAGACGTCACCGGAGGTCTCGGTATGTATTCAGTATAAGAGACTGCAGAGAGCACATTTTTGTTATATGCGCTTGGTTTTGTTTTTGAGCCTGTGCTGTGCAGGAGAAGCTTTTTTTTTTGTTCTGTTTACTTGGGAAGGGAGCTTCTGCATTCATCCAGTTTAAATAATGAAATTTAATGTTCAAGGCAATTTTTTATTAGTTCACGGGATATGGGCATCAGTGGCTAGGCCAACGTTTATTACTCATCTCCAAGTGATAGTCACAAATGTTGTTGTGAATCTGAAGTCACATGTAAACCAGATAAGGACAACGGTTTCCTTCCCAAAAGGACATTAGTGATGCGTTTTTCCTGACAGTCAACAATGGTCATCATTAGACACTTAATTCATACTTTTGTTGAACTCACATTCCACCATCTGCTGTGGCAGGTTTCAAATCCAGCTCCCCATAACATTAGATGGAACTAGAGGAACACAGCAGGCCAGGCAGCATCAGAGGAGCAGGAAAGCTGACGTTTCGGGTTGGGACCCTTCTTCAGATTTCTGAAGAAGGGTCCCGACCTGAAACTTCAGCTTTCCTGCTCCTCTGACGCTGCCTGGCCCACTGTATTCCTCCAGCTCCACACTGTGTTATCTCAGACTCCAGCATCGGCAGTCCTTACCATCTCCCCAGAACATTACCTGGGTTTCTGGATTAATAGTGTAGTGATAATGCCACTAGTCCATCACCTCCCTAAGCTTCAACAGTTCCTATCTCAGTGGATACTCCAGTGTCCTCACTAAGAATAAATTTTGGGAACATTTTTGCCAGAAGTACAAGGCTGTGTTCAGTTCAAGAAGAGATTAGAACATCATTGTCTGTATCAGTTTGCAAGAGAGGGTTCTAATGCAATAAAAGGCCAAATGTTAAGCAACAGAGTTAATGAGGAAGTGCATTTGTTAGAGGGTTCTTAAAACCCCACCCTCACTCTGAGTAACTGGCAGTTAATTAACTGGCAGAGGCATTTGATATCTGATGGTAGTGAACACAGGGATACAACATGCTGGAGCCCTGCAGAGTTCTGACAGCCAGCATTCAGCACATGCTCTGCCCTGAGGAGATGGGCGTGTTGTTGCCAAGTCTTAGTTCTCTGCTTCCATTTGGTGGTAGAAAGGCAGCATTATCAAAGATCTGCCAGTACAGTGTGAGGCACATAGCCCTGAGAGACACTATGATGTTTGAGTGTTTAGCACTCATAGACATTTTCCAGTCGTTTTTCTTCATCCTCTATTAAATTGGCTTTCTTCTACTAACAGCCACTTAAATCTTCATTCCCTTTGTACATCAGTATGCAGTGAGAATAGACACATTAATATTATAATCCCACAAATAGGTTTTGCCATAAAGCAGTGACCCACCCACCACGTGTAAGTAAGACACAGTCCGGGACAGTGTCGTGTGAGGCATTCAACATTTCGTGGTTCCAGAATTTCTTATCTTTCGTGAGCTGCTGGGTGAGTTTAGAGTACTTGTTTAAAGGTTGCAAGTGTGTGTTTTTGTGACTTGCAACGAAATAAACCTCAAAGTTACTGTGGCTGTAACTGAATGTACTGTTGCAGTCTCTGCAGCAGAGATTGCTCCATTAAACTGCCTACTTTAAGTGAAGCTGGTAGTAAGAATGCATTACTGGCTGAAGCTCCTATGTCATGGTTGATAGTGTCATCTGAATTTCCTTTATTACCTGTGTAAAGTAGTGTCTCCTCACACTTACAATGCACTAGGTAATAGCTGTGATTCTTTCTCTGTCTGGATTCCAGGTCTGATTCATATGATAGCTACGACAGTAGGAGCAGGAGTCGGAGCCGTAGCTACCACAAATCCAGAAGGTCCAGGTAAGAGACTGCTTTTCCTTCTGATTTAACTCTCCGACAGACTTCCCATTCTGGAGACACTTCCATAATCAGGATTGGGGGATGCATGACATTGTTATAGTCTACCTGCTCACCAGAATCCCCTTCATGCCTTGCCCATTTCTTGGCATATGAGATCTAAGCAATTGAATGAACACAGACATGCCCAAACTTTTCTCACCAAATCCTCATAGTCTGCATACTTGCAGCACAAACCTCACTTTCTGATCAGGATCTGGGGCTGTAGTCTGCATTTTGCGCCCAGCAACTTTTCCAACACCTTCTCCCTTCCTAGACCACTTTCTACTTCTTGCCCCTACCCCCACCATACTCCTTTGGTTTCAATACTTAAGTAAGATGCATCAATCATTGTTCAAGTATTTCCAGAATAAGACCGTAAGACATAGGAGCAGAAATTAGGCCATTCAGCCCATTGAGTCTGCTCTGTCATTCAATCATGGCTGATAAGTTTCTCAACCCTATTCTTCCACTTTCTCCCCATAATCCTTGATCCCTTTGACAATCAAGAACCTATCTATCTCAGTCTTAAATATACTCAATGACCTGGCCTCCACAGCCTTCTGTGGCAGTGAATTCCATAGATTCACCACTCTCTGGCTGAAGAAGTTTCTCCTTATTGAATCATAGATAGTAGGAACTGCAGATGCTGGAGAATCCGAGACAACAAGGTGCAGAGCTGGATGAACACAGCAGGCCAAGCAGCATCATAGGAGCAG